TTGGGAACAGAGACCAAGGCCCGTTCACTGAATTCCTCAAGCCTTATCTACTCCCTTAATCACCACCGCTACTCTTCCCCTGTTCTCCCTCCTCCCCCTCGCTACCTCTTGACCCCCCTTTTCCAGGTGGAGACGTGCTACGGGCTGTCGGCGGCGTACAACAAGAGCAACAACCCGGCGGACCTCGCCAAGCTGCAGGAGGTGATCGAGTCGCTCGACCCCGCCGAATCCATCCTCTGCGCCTCCGCCTTCTCGCACATGCTCACCCTCGGCAACATCGCTGGTACGCCCACACGCTCTCACCCGCTGCAGTGTCGGTGGTAATAGGCTTAGTTCTGCAGCGATTTGTACGGAGCTGCTGTACTTGAGCGAGCAATTCCGCGTGACATGATCCTGATCGTGCAATTATTACCCTTAACAATTCATGGAAGCATCGCTGTCATATAGAAACCTTCCTAACGGTAGCTCATTCCTCCCTCCCTCCCTTCACCCCTTCTCACCGATTTCCCTGCAATTCTCGCAGAGGAAGTTCAGATGGCCCGCCGAAAGACTCTCAAGTCGCAGCGCCACGGCGCGATCGAGGACGAGGGCAGCTCGCTTACCGAGTCATCCCTTGTCGAGACATTCGACAAGTTGCGCAAGGCGGGGAAGAGCCCGGAGGGGATTTACGAGGCGCTGTGCACGCAGCGCGTGGATCTAGTTCTCACGGCGCATCCCACGCAGTCCATCCGACGGTCGCTGCTGCAGAAGCACTCGCGGATTCGCACCCTGCTGGGCCAGCTGCATGAGCAGAAGGTCACGGACGAGCGAAAGCTGGAGCTCACCGAGGCTATCAAACGCGAGGTACGTCGTGGAATGAGATGGCTTCCATTCAATACGCGCCGAAGTTAGCGTGAAAAAAAAGTAAAACGTGAGAATTGCAAATAGAATGGGTTGAAACGGGTACGTACAGTTGACATACTGAGGCCCCTGCTTCCACTTTCTTGCCCGGTTTTATTTTTGCGTTGACTCTACGCATTGCCATCAGCCTCCCCCCCGTTTCGTTTTGATATTTTCTCTCTTTTTATTTTACTTTTGATTCTTTCCTTCATCTTTTCGGAGTTATTCGTAAATTGGCCACTCCTGAGCAACGCAGCTCTCTATGTATTCCTCGCGCCTTCCTTCGCGCAGATCCAGGCAGCGTGGCGGACGGACGAGATTCGGCGGTCGCAGCCGACCCCGCAGGACGAGATGCGGGGCGGCATGAGCTACATGCACGAGACCATCTGGAAGGGCGTCCCGCGCTTCCTGCGCCGCGTCGACACCGCGCTGCGCCACCTCGGCGTGCCGCACCGCCTGCCCTACCGCCTCCCCATCATCGCCTTCTCCTCCTGGATGGGCGGCGACCGCGACGGTGAGCGCAGGGGTCGGTAGGTAGGAACTTGTGTTTGAATGATAGGGTCTTTCTTGCGAAATCCTTGCTCGGGGGGGTCTTGATCTTGTCTGAAGTGGGTGAGAATGTCTCGGGGGTTTTCCCTTGGGAGTTCCGATTACGAGTGGAATTGGTTTTGTCGACAGCCATTTCTGGTTCATATTGGCTGACGATGTTTGTACCGGCCCTTCCTGCTTTATCCCCGTTACAGGGAATCCTCGCGTGACTTCCGAGGTCACCAAGGACGTCGTGTACCTGTCTCGCTTGATGGTCACCAACCTGTACATCTCTCAAATAGAAAGTCTTATGTTTGATGTGAGTAATACCTGAAACTTCCACCACCTCCTTTTGTGCTGAAACTGCATCCATAACTTAAGTGAGCATGATGACTACGTCCCTATTCTATTGCCTGATTTTTTACCAATCCTGTTCTTCATACTAACATGTGCCATCCCTCGCTCCTATTGCCATCCTGCAGTTGTCCATGTGGAGAGCTAGTGACGAGCTTAAGGAACGAGCGGCAGCTGTGCGATCCGGTGCCAAGCGCCACACCAACCACTATATTGGTAAGATAAGAACACTTCTGGTTTCGTTTTCACAGGCATGGCGAAAGGGGGGAGGAGGGTAATGCTGGACAAAAATGCATTCTTACCGTTTCAGCATTCTGCTGCAAGTCATTTCTTGGAAGCTCTCTCACAGTGACACACACCTGCTGGCCCCTCAAATCCTTCTCCACACTGTTCCTCCCACGAACCTTCTCACCACTTCTCAGAGTTCTGGCAGGGCATCCCCGACAACGAGCCGTACCGAGTGGTCCTCGGGGAAGTGCGCGACAAGCTCTGGAACACGCGCGACCACATCCAGCAGATCATAGCCAAAGGCCGGTCAGACTATAACGAGGATGACATCTACACCACATCTGAGCAGCTGATGGAGCCCCTAGAGCTCTGCTACAAGTCCTTATCAGCCGTGGGCGACCAGCCTGTTGCGGACGGCGCTCTCCTGGACGCTCTCCGGCAGGTGGCGTGCTTTGGGCTGTCGCTGGTGCGGCTGGACATTCGGCAGGAGGGAGCGCGGCACTCAGACGCCATGAACGCCATCACACAGCACGTGGGCGCCGGCACGTACCACGACTGGCCGGAGCAGCAGCGCATCGACTGGCTCACCCAGGAGCTGCAGAGCCGCCGCCCGCTCTTCGGGGACAACCTGCTGGAGGTGGCGAGTGACGAGGTGCGCGAGGTGCTGCGCACGTTCCGAGCGCTGGCGGCGCTGCCGCGGGACTCGCTGGGAGCGTACGTGATCTCCATGGCCACCAGCGCCTCGCACGTGCTCGAGGTGCAGCTGCTGCAGCGCGCCGCGGGCGTGGAGAAGCCGCTGCGCGTGGTGCCGCTGTTTGAGCGCCTGGACGACCTCACCAACGCGCCCGCCGTGCTGCAGCAGCTGTTCTCGCTGCCGCTGTACCGCGCCTCGCTGGAGGGCGGCGTGCAGGAGGTGATGATCGGCTACTCCGACTCCGGCAAGGATGCCGGCCGCCTCGGCGCCGCGTGGGCGCTGTACAAGGCGCAGGCCAGCGTGGTGGAGGTGGCGCAGCAGCACGGCGTGCAGCTCAGCATCTTCCACGGCCGCGGGGGCACGGTGGGGCGCGGGGGTGGGCCGACGCATCTGGCGATTCTGTCGCAGCCGCCGGGCACGGTGAACGGGCGGCTGCGAGTGACGGTGCAGGGCGAGGTGATCGAGCAGTCGTTCGGCGAGGAGCACCTCTGCTTCCGCACGCTGCAGCGCTTCACCGCCGCCACCCTCGACCACTCCTTGAACCCGCCCCGCGCCGCGCTGCCGCAGTGGCAGGCCATGATGGAGCGCATGGCACCGCTCTCCACCGAGGAGTACCGTTCCGTGGTGTTCCAGAACCCAAGGTTTGTCGAGCTGTTCCGCGCCGTGACTCCCGAGACGGAATTTGCCCGCATGAACATCGGCAGCCGCCCCGCCAAGCGCAAAGCGGGCGGTGGAGTGGAGACGCTGCGAGCCATCCCGTGGATTTTCGCTTGGACGCAGACGCGCTTCCACCTGCCCGTGTGGCTCGGGCTGGGAGCAGCGCTGCGGGGCGTGGTAGAGGAGGACCCGCTTGCACTGGACGAGCTGCAGCAGATGTACCAGCAGTGGCCTTTCTTCCGTGTCACTCTTGACCTGCTTGAGATGGTGTTTGCCAAGGGTGACCCGCGTGTGGCCCGGCTGTACCAGCACGTGCTGGCGCCGCCTGATCTGCAGGAGCTGGGGGAGCTGCTGCTGAACAAGTACGAGGAGAGCAAGAACTTCGTGCTGCTGGTATGGGCTGCGCTCACTTAGCGCTCTCTGCCTTGCTACCCTCCCCTTCGTCTCCCCCACTCTCTGTTTCTTACTCCCTGTCTCCTCCTTTTTCGCTCCTGTCTCTCTCATCCTCTCCTGTGTTAAGTCTTGTTCATTACATTTTTTTTTTTTTTTGTTCAGCGTAACCGTGCCATGCTTCTTACCTTATTTTTGCCTCTCTCACTGTTCCTATCTTTCTTCCTGTTGCCTTCTACAGATCTGTGGTCACCTGGTTCCCCTGGAAGCCAATCCCACGCTCCGCCAGCGTCTCTTGGTGCGAGAGCCCTACATCACGCCTCTCAACGTCATGCAAGTGCTCACACTCAAGCGCATGCGTGCCGCCGCTGCTGCCGCCGCAGCCGCCGCTGCTGAGCCTAAGGGAGAAACCGAGAGCGGTGGTTCGAGGCTGAAGAAACACCTGACTCCTAGTCGGGCTGCGGAGGTGGTTTCTCTCAATCCTTCCAGCGTGTATGCTCCCGGGCTGGAAGACACGCTGATTCTCACCATGAAGGGCGTCGCTGCAGGCATGCAGAATACTGGGTAGATGGAGAGGTATTTGAGCCCAGAGTCTGAATAACTCAACCAGGAAGGCTAGGTTGGAAAGCCCGAAAAGGAGGTTCGACAAGAAGGCAGACTCGAAGCCCTGGACCCAGTTTGCCTTTGGCCCTTCATGGTTTGATTGCAATTTCTGTAGTATGTCGTAAGGTCTGTTCCAGGTAGCATTTAGGTGCTGTAGTGATGTAGCTATCCGCATTCTACCCTTCAATTCAAATGTCAACTTTGCAATATTGTGAAACAGAACAATGGTTGGTTCACATCTCTATCTCTGTACTTCTGTAGTCTCTGAAAAAAGCATACACCTTGCTCACGGCCCAACATTGTTACCCTGGCAAGCGCTATGCCACTTCCCATATACGGTAACACTTGCTTCGAAAGCTAGCTGAAAGCGGAATAAGCTCCGCTAAAAAACAAAGGTCAACATCATTCCAAAAGCGTAGGCAAATGGCAGTCAGGAGATGAAGAGCAGACCATAAGAACAAGGCTATCAGAGGAGCACCTTCTGACAAATCAGAGTGATGCAGATCACTGCATCAGATTCTCTCTAAGCCCGACCCAAGTCTCACTTGCCTACGGTACCTATCACACCTCCAAGACGTCTCGTCTCAAAAAAACCTCGAGACATCCATGCAGGTGGTGGGCAAGGAGGAGCTTGAAGCGTCACGTTGCACACGCGTGGGAGTGAGTTTCACGACGAGAGCGACTCCTCCAGGTTGAAGCGATGGAGTGTGGCAAGCGTGGCCGGAAGGGCACTGTGTGATGGTTGGGAACATGATGGGGGGTGCGTGGAATGAGATGGGGTTGAGTGGAGAGAGTAGAAAGGTTTAGAGACGGAAGGAGGCTGGGACTGAACCATCACACAGTGCCCAACCATTACACATGTGACAGGAGTATCCAAACCAACCCTAGTCGTTCCTACCCTATCTTTTTCCACATTTCCTTATCCCTCCTCTCTCCTTACCGCCCCCTCCCCTCGCCACCCCTCCCAACACATCAATTGCCCCTTCCCATCCATCCAAGCAAAAATAAGAAACGAGGGCACAGGCACAGGCACAGGCACAGGCACAGGCACAGGCACAGGCACAGGCACAGGCACAGGCACAGGCACAGGCACAGCACAAAGTCTCCTAACCAGGCCACCATACCTCACCAGCCATTCCCGAATCACTCTGAACCGTCCCCAAAACAGAGGATTGTTGAGAGAAAAGAGAGCACATGGTTCGCTCACCCAAGTCACAGCCAGAGACACATGGAACACGGTCCCCTAGTCTCCTAAGAACAAGCCAGCCACCACCCTCACCTTCCCGCTCGAATCACTTTGAACCGCCCCGGCAGCACCAGCTCTACGATCGTGGACCCTTGCCGCATCTCCTCTGCCTGCTCGCCCCCGTCCACCACCGCCGCACACATCCCCCACAGCGCGCGGAACTCCCCTGCTGCGATGGCGGACGGGTGGCCTGAGAGGTTGGCGGATGTGAGGGCGAGCGGCGCGGAGAGCAGGCGGGCGAGCGAGCGGATGAAGGGGGAGGCTGGGATGCGGACCGCGAGGGAGGGGACCGTGCGGGTGAGGGAGGGGTGTATGGGGGAGGTGGGACCTGGGAGGGAAGGGTGGGGGGGAAGGAAGTGGGAGGGGGAAATGGGGGGATGAGGAAAATGGTGAAAATAGCTGACGTGGCACAATCCATACCCCGCAACTCCACGAAACGAGACACCACTAACCCTCCTCAAAGCAGCTTGCACTGAAGGCAACTCTAAGCAGATGCACACCTAGTTGCACTCACGGTGGGGCAGCACGAGAGTGACTGGGCCAGGCAGCAGCGCCGCCAGCAGGCCGGGCGGCAGGTGCCCGGTCTCTGCATACACTGCCACGTCAGCAATGTCTGCCACCGCGATCGCCAGGGGCTTGTTGAAATCCCGGCCCTTGATCTCGTAGATGCGCGCGATCCCCTCTGCTGACCTGGCGGGGTGGGGCGGGGGGGACGACAAGGAGGGGAGGGGGAGGATGGGGAGGAGGTGCCGGCCGGGAAGAGAGGACAGTTCTCAACTAAGTAGAAGTGAAAACTTTAACAGGTCGTAATTACATTGATGAGCGCAATGGAGAAAGTGGATTTTGAGATGCCTAATGAGGGGATTTTGGCCCGGCCCTTGATATTTGTGGACCCTGAAAAGGAACTCGTTAACTTTGTACGTGCGGTGTTTTTTTTTCCACACAATAAGGAAGGAAGAGGGGGTTGGGGAGGAGGAGAGGGGTTCGGAGAAAGGACGAAAGACGTTCTCAGACATCCCAGAGAAAGCTAGAGGAGGATTTAGCAGGTGATGGAGGACTTGGTGAAGAGAGAAGATGATACTGATGGACAGTGAGTGTGAGAGGGATTAAGGTTTAGGGGGGCCTGCACAGGATACAACCACCCACCACCATTCCCCCCCCTGCTCTCCCTTCCCCTCTTCCTCCCCTTTCCCTCCCCATTCCTCTCCTTCTCCTTCCCCTGATCCCGCTCTCCCCACCCACCCTTTCACCACTTTTGAGTCTGACTCATGAATTCTATCCCCACCCACACTCACCGCTCCACCCACCGCGCATCAGAAGGAGTTGAGACTTGGCGGGAGTGGGGTGCACTGGACTGACTCCACATGTCCCAATCTCCCCCCCATTCGTCCCCCCTCAACTTGCCTCCCTCACCCCCAGCCACTTCCCACTCACCGCGCATCAGCAGCGAATCCATAAATAGAGTCAGTGGGAACTGCAGGCGACTTGCCAGGCTCGTAAGTCAACTCAGTCCCTCGTTCCCCCGCTCATCCCCCAACGCCACCCACACTCACCGGGCGTCAGCAGCAAAGCCGTACATGGTGTCGGGTGGGAACGGCGATGACCTGGTGAAGCTTGTAGGGCGCTGAAGCCTTCTAAGTCCACTCAACACCTCCCCATTCCCCATTCTTCCTCTCCCTCCCCCCCTTTCCCCTCCCCCACACTCACCGCGCATCAGCAGCAAAGCCGTATATGGTGTCGGTGGGGACGGCGATGACTTGGTGAGCTCGTAGCGCGGCTACTGTCGGGGCCAGAGAGGAGGAGACGGCCGGTAGGAGGAGCGTGGGATGCGGGGAGGGAGAGGGGGAGGGATTGGGGGAGAGTGGGGGAGAGGACGACGGGGAGGAGGAGGGTGGGGAGAAAGAGAGATGTGGAATGGAGGAGGCGTGGTAAAAGCGGTCGTCGGTGCGAGCCAGGTGGGAAGAGGAAGAGGAGAAGGAAGAAGTAGCAGTAGCAGGTTCAGCAGCAGCAGCGTCGTATGCTGAGTGGCGTTCCAGTGTCGGCTGTGCTGTCACTCCGTCGAACTGCCTGCTGGCACGCACACGCACGAGAACGCACACGCACATGCACGCACGCACGCACGCACGCGCCCGCACACGCACGCATACACACGAGGACACAGAAAATAAAGACGAGTACAGTATCTAGTAAAATAAAGACGAGTACGAGTTAATAAGCTGTAACGAGGAAGGATGGGGTATAAACCCGTATAAAACGGTGGCCCCAACTGAACTCCGAACAAAAATGCAAACACCCGTGCCAGCATACTTGGCATCCGTCGAACGTTTCTGATCTGGACCGTTGAGTCGGTCATCGCCGTCCATGTGCTTGTAGTGAAGCCCCCGCGCGAACCCAGCGCAATTCGCGGAGACATTTCTCGAGTCGCAGCAGGGACTGATGGCTGTTGCACGCCGCGTCAATAAAAGTGACGGATGATTCTTGTAGCGCGTATGGGAACTGTCCCCTTGCTGCACGGAGGCGCAGCCTATTCTTGACGCTGTTATCGAGTTACCGCGATTGAAAACGGTGTACGCGGAGGAAGACGATTCGACATGGCTGTTCGCGAAACAAACACGATCGGGTAAGGAAGAGAGCGGGGGCGCGTTTGGAATCGCGAAATGGTTACTAAAGCGACTCGGCGAACAGCGGATCGCACCGCCACCGCCAATACTGCTACTACTCATTGCAGCTGCGTTCGCTGGCTTGGAAAAGAAGAATCGTCGCAAGCTGCAAACAGATATTCGAGCGGAAATAGCGGCACTAATAGCCCGTGAGCTGCGATTTTACTCTTCGACAGGCGACAACCCGTTGGGTATGTGCGGCTGAGCAGGATTGAGTAGTGGTTGCTAGTTCACAATACTTCAAAAACGTTGAACGCGTGTTCATGTACAGACGGAGAGGGTGGATAGGCGTGTTATTTGGCCCCCTATACCCCATAGAAGCAGAGTGGCAGCGAATCGCAGCTTGCGGAGTCCAAGTGCTAGTGAGGCACAAGGCTTTAGGGAGGTTTTTCCTGGGCAGGGAACGTGGTGTGGATACAGTTCGTTATCGCTCACAAATGCAAACGAAAATGGTTAGGAATTTGATGCTTCAGTCTGTCAAACTAAAATGCGGTGCACATAGATCATGCAGTGCACATGACAGTTCTTTCTGTATCTCTGTCACGGGCACGCAAGGAACTTTCTGAAAATAGGCAATCAAAGGCGACGACGCAATCTCCTCGGCAAGGCCATTTTGCCAATCAGCAACGGCTAGTGAAGACACCTTCCTTAGACGGCTTTCTTGGCTTGAAGGACGCTGCACACAAGATTTAGGGCGTGTCCCATGAGGAATATCCCAGCGGAAACGGGTCGTCAAGCCTGACGAACCTCTGACGACTTGACGACATGCTGCCCCGGGCAGAAAAAAACTAAAACCCTATCGGATGGCATGCCATCCGAGGGAGGCATCAACCCTAAATCCATGCCTCCCGGTGTTTAGGGTTGATGCCTCCCTGACCGGATGCATGCCCGAATGGGTTTTATTTTTTTTGCCCGCGGGCAGCGAGCTCCCCCGGGCGGACTCGCTTGTCCGCTGAGATATATTAACCGTTCTTGTACAGTTCATGTTGAGAGGTATCCCTATTTTCAGTATGTAACCCTCAGATTGTGACTACTATAGACATGCGTCTTCATTGATGTGTCAAAATATGTTGCCCATATTTCATATACTTGTCTGTAGTGTTAGTGTAGCTGCTCCATGTTTGGTGGTGGTGCACCACCTTGTCTTGCTAATCCTATTTGTACTTGTCTTTCCATAGTGAACACCTCTCCTTTGCTTGAACTACTCTCCCTTACCTAGCCTAAACCCTAGGCTAGTGGCTCTTGCCATACCTACTATTTTGACATGCTATCAGAGAGAGGTTTCTCCTATGACCTGTCTCATAGGGCCCACCACTACGCTTCCGCTCATGGGCCTCTCAGCTGCCCGTCGCGCGCCCGGGGCGCGCGACGGTTTTCTGCCCGCCGCGCACCCCGGGCGCGCGTCGATTTTCTGCTCGTCGCGCGCCACGGGCGTGCGGCGATTTCGTCCCCGTCGCGCGCCCCGGACGCGCGACGGTTTCCTGCCCGTCGCGCGCCCCGGGCGTGCGACGGTTCTCTGCCCGTCGCGCGCCCCGGGCGTGCGACGGTTTCTGCCCGTCGCGCGCCCTGGACGCGCGACGGGTTCTGCCCGCCAGCGCGCCCTGCTGTCGCCCGCGCACCTCCTACCCCGCCCCCCCGCCCCCCCTTCCCCTTTATCTCTCTGCTGCGCGTGTGGCAGTGGGGGGGAGGGTATGGGGGTGGCGGGTGTGAGTGATCTGCTGCCGCCCCTCCTCCTCTCTCTCCCACTGCCGCACTTGCTGCTGGGGGGGGGGAAGGGTGTGGGGGAAACGAGGGAGTGGCGTGGGGAGCCGAGGGAGTGGCGTTAGAGATGCAGAAGGGGATGTGGAAAGGGGGTGTGGGACAATGGGGGGAGGTTGGCAGGAGGTAGCCGTCGTGACGCCAGCAGCGCCAGTAGTCCGGAGCCGGCGTGCTCCGGTAGCCAGTGAGCCCGTTGCACCAGTTGCCCGTGGGTCAGTTTCTCCAGCCGCTCGGCGTAGCCGCGGAGCCAGTTACTCCCGTAGTCCGGTGCCGTCGTGCTCCGGTAGCCAGTGTGCCTGCTGCTCCAGTCGCCCGTGTGCCAGCAGCTTCAGCCGCCGCTTCCTACCTCCTCTCCTCGCTTAGTCCCTCCTCCTCTTCGCTTGCCCTCTTCTTCTACTACACACTGCATGGTGTACCCCTTCAGGAGGCGTTGCTACACTTATCCCTGCAAACAATTATGGGGGCGTGTCAAAATATGTTGCCCATATTTCATATAATTGTATGTAGTGTTAGTGTAGCTGCTCCATGTTTGGTGGTGGTGCACCACCTTGTCTTGCTCATCCTATTTGTACTTGTCTTTCCATAGTGAACACCTCTCCTTTGCTTGAACTACTCTCCCTTACCTAGCCTAAACCCTAGGCTGGTGGCTCTAGCCATACCTACTATTTTGACATGCTATCAGAGAGAGGTTTCTCCTAGGACCTGTCTCAAAGGGCCCACCACTACGCTTCCGCTCATGGGCCTCTCTGCTGCCCGTCGCGCGCCCGGGGCGCGCGACGGTTTTCTGCCCGCCGCGCGCCCCGGGCGCGCGTCGATTTTCTACTCGTCGCGCGCCCCGGGCGTGCGGCGATTTCGTCCCCGTCGCGCGCCCCGGACGCGCGACGGTTTCCTGCCCGTCGCGCGCCCCGGGCGTGCGACGGTTCTCTGCCCGTCGCGCGCCCCGGGCGTGCGACGGTTTCTGCCCGTCGCGCGCCCTGGACGCGCGACGGGTTCTGCCCGCCAGCGCGCCCTGCTGTCGCCCGCGCACCTCCTACCCCGCACCCCCGCCCCCCCCTTCCCCTTTATCTCCCTGCTGCGCGTGTGGCAGTGGGGGGGAGGGTATGGGGGTGGCGGGTGTGAGTGATCTGCTGCCGCCCCTCCTCCTCTCTCTCCCACTGCCGCACTTGCTGCTGGGGGGGGGGGGGAGGGTGTGGGGGAAACGAGGGAGTGGCGTGGGGAGCCGAGGGAGTGGCGTTAGAGATGCAGAAGGGGATGTGGAAAGGGGGTGTGGGACAATGGGGGGAGGTTGGCAGGAGGTAGCCGTCGTGACGCCAGCAGCGCCAGTAGTCCGGAGCCGGCGTGCTCCGGTAGCCAGTGAGCCCGTTGCACCAGTCGCCCGTGGGTCAGTTTCTCCAGCCGCTCGGCGTAGCCGCGGAGCCAGTTACTCCCGTAGTCCGGTGCCGTCGTGCTCCGGTAGCCAGTGTGCCTGCTGCTCCAGTCGCCCGTGTGCCAGCAGCTTCAGCCGCCGCTTCCTACCTCCTCTCCTCGCTTAGTCCCTCCTCCTCTTCGCTTGCCCTCTTCTTCTACTACACACTGCATGGTGTACCCCTTCAGGAGGCGTTGCTACACTTATCCCTGCAAACAATTATGGCGGCGTGTCAAAATATGTTGCCCATATTTCATATAATTGTCTTTAGTGTTAGTGTAGCTGCTCCATGTTTGGTGGTGGTGCACCACCTTGTCTTGCTCATCCTATTTGTACTTGTCTTTGTCAAACTTATACTCTACAGTTTGTTTAGGCTGTAGTGGGGTAGTTACTATGGGGTACAGCAAGTTTAGGTTTTCCTACTTGTACCCACCCCTTTCCTAGTGCATTCACTCTTGTTTATTCTGACATGGTATTACGAGCCTAGGTTAGGCACCTAGGACCGCTTAGTACTAAGGGCCCACCGTTCCGCTAGAAGCGCCCTCGTGCGCCCTGCCTTCCTCGCGCCCTCGTGCGCCTCTCTCTGCTCGTGCGCCCTTGCGCGCCCTCTCTCTCGCGCTGCCCGCGCGCAGTCCGTTAATCGCGCGCGCGCAGCCCGCTAGCCGCCCACGCGCGGCCCGCTTACCGCGCGCGCAACCCATTAGCCGTCCGCGCGACCAGCACCGCCCGCGCGCAGCCCGCGACGGCCTCGTGCAGCCCCGCGCGCAACCCGCGAGCTGCCCGTCGACCGGCCCTGCTGGCCGTCCAGCGCGCCGCAACCCCGCACGTAGGCCGCCGCCTCGCGCACGAAGGCCGCCGCCCGCACGTAGGCCGCCGCCCGCTCGTAGGCCGCCGCCCGCACGTAGGCCGCCGCCTCGCACAGCACAACGCGCGCAGGCCCGCCGTCGCGCCGCCCTGCCTGCCCGAGCCGCGCCGCGCCGCCCTGCCCGAGTCGCGCCGCCCTGCCCGAGCCGCGCTGCCCTGCTGTGCCACACTGCCCCACCTGCAGCAACTGCTGCTCCTGTTCCTGCTACTACTGCTGTTCCTGCTGCTACTGCTGTTCCTACTGCTACTGCTGCTACTGCTACTGCTGTCCCTATGGCTAGTCCCACCGTTCTCTCTTTCGATGCTGAGGGCCGTCCGATTCAGTTTGATGCTTGGCTCGACGACCTGCACCTGTTCCTACAGATCACTGCTAAGGATGA